ATTGTTTCTTCTCTATTCCACTTTACCCACGGGATAGACCAAGGTTTGCCTTCACTATCCCTTCTCTTAATCATATGGAACCAGACAAGAGATTTCAGTGGAAGGTACTGCCGCAAGGCATGGCCAATAGCCCAACAATATGTCAGCTATATGTGCAGGAGGCTTTGGAGCCAATTAGGAAGCAATTTACATCTTTAATCGTTATCCATTATATGGACGATATTCTTATTTGTCACAAAGAGTTAGATGTTTTACAAAAGGCTTTTCCCATGCTGGTGGCTGAATTAAAACAGTGGGGATTAGAGATTGCCTCAGAAAAGGTTCAAATTGCAGATACAGGCCTCTTTTTGGGCTCAAAGATTACTCCCAAAAATATAGTTCCTCAGAAAATAGAAATTCGCAAAGACCACTTACAAACATTAAATGATTTTCAGAAACTTCTGGGAGATATAAATTGGTTGAGGCCCTTTTTAAAAATTCCATCTGCTGATCTAAAACCCCTCTTCGATCTCCTGGAGGGTGAGCCTCATATCTCCTCACCCAGAAAATTTACCCCTGCCGCCCACCGAGCCTTACAGATGGTGGAAGAGGCCTTACAGGAAGCACAATTACAACGAATTGAGGAGTCACTACCTTTTAATCTGTGTGTTTTTAAGACAGCTCAATTGCCAACTGCAGTCCTGTGGCAACATGGACCATTACTTTGGATTCATCCAAATGCTTCCCCTGCTAAGATTATTGACTGGTACCCTGATGCTGTTGCACAGCTCGCGCTTCGCGGAATAAAAGCAGCTGTTACACATTTTGGCAGGGATCCTGATTCCTTGATTGTGCCTTATACTGCTGCACAAGTTCAGACCTTGGCAGCCACATCTAGTGATTGGGCAGTTTTAGTTACTTCCTTTTCAGGACAAATTGATAATCATTTTCCAAAGCATCCAATTTTACAGTTTGCCCTAAACCAGGCTATAGTGTTTCCACAAGTGACAGCTAAAGACCCACTCCCAGATGGGACTGTGGTGTACACTGATGGATCAAAAACTGGTATGGGAGCTTATGTGGTCAAGGATAGGGTTATATCTAAACAATATAATGAAACTTCACCTCAAGTTGTAGAATGTCTGATAGTACTGGAGGTTCTTGAGGCTTTTCCAGGACCCCTCAATATTGTATCAGATTCCTCTTATGTGGTTAATGCAGTTAATCTCCTTGAGATAGCTGGAATAATAAGATCCTCCAGCAGAGTTGCTAACATCTTTCAGAAGATACAAGCTGCCTTGTTAAATAGGAGATTTCCTGTTTTCATTACCCATGTCCGAGCACATTCTGGACTCCCAGGTCCCATGTCCTTAGGGAATGACTTAGCGGACAAGGCTACAAAGCTGGTGGCCGCTGCCTTGTCTACCCATGCACAAGCAGCAAAAGAATTCCATAAGCGCTTTCATGTGACGGCTGAGACCTTGCGCCGTCGTTTTGCTCTATCCAGGAAAGAGGCTAGGGAAATTGTTACTCAATGCCAGAATTGCTGCGAATTCTTACCTACTCCCCACATGGGAATAAACCCACGTGGCATTAGACCATTGCAGATGTGGCAGATGGATGTTACTCATATTCCCTCTTTTGGAAGGCTTCAATATGTTCATGTTTCTGTTGACACCTGTTCTGGCGTAATGTTTGCCACACCCCTAACAGGGGAAAAGGCCTCATATGTGATTCAACATTGCCTTGAGGCCTGGAGTGCTTGGGGAAAACCCAGAATTTTAAAAACAGACAATGGACCAGCATATACCTCTCAAAAATTCCGACAGTTTTGTCGGCAAATGGATGTTACCCATCTAACTGGCCTACCTTATAACCCTCAAGGACAGGGCATTGTGGAACGTGCCCATCGTACACTCAAATCATATCTGATTAAACAAAAGGGGAGTATTGAGGATGTTCTACCCTCGGTACCAAGAGTTGCTGTATCCATGGCACTTTTTACCCTTAATTTCTTGAACTGTGATGCCCAAGGCCACACTGCGGCTGATCGCCACAGTTTAGAGCCTGATAGGCCAAAAGAAATGGTAAAATGGAAAGATGTCTTGACTGATCTCTGGAAAGGCCCGGATCCTATTCTTATAAGATCCAGGGGAGCTGTGTGTGTTTTTCCACAGGAGGAAGAAAACCCCCTGTGGATCCCTGAAAGACTCACTCGAAGAGCTCCTTCACAACTCCAGAATAAGAAGGATGGAGGCCAAGTGGGTGATGAAGACTCTCCTACTCGGGATGATGGTTCCTAGTATGATGGGAGAGTTACGGTGGGCCATCATGTCTACCTTCCCCTACCGATGCCAGTGATGCAGAATGCCCAGGTGTTCCCTAGATTTTTCACAAATAATAGAGAGTTGGGGCTTGCCTTTTTGCCTTTAGATCCTCAGATACAGAGTTTTCAGGATGAGAGAACCTTGTCATTAGTAGGAAGCTTGTGCTTTACTGTGATTTCTTCATTAAAGGATAATTTTATTCATATGGATCCAGAAAGATCTAATGCTAATCCTTTTGAATTAATGGAAGCTGTACTGATCTTTCTCCTATGATAGTGAGAAGGGACAGATTACTTTTGATTGGAAAGGGGCATTAGGCAACAGTCTGAGTGAGGGACAGAGCTCTGGATCATCTGATTGGTCCTCCTCCAATGTTAAGTATACCCCTTTTAAGAGAACTAATTATTCAGCTGCCCTTTATTTGGGTTGTGAGTAATGATACCTTAGGTAAGAATCAGAAAGAAATAAATTGTTCTGCTTAGAATTGTTTTTATGCATTATGCTGGGATGCTATTAAGCACCCTTTTGCTTTGGTAATGCGCATGCCTCGATTTATTCCAGCTCCTGTTGAGGCGCCAAGTAATTTGAGTTTGTTTAGGGAAAAGCGAGATTTTTGGGATCTCTGCTATTATTGTGGGCCTGATAGCCACCGCCGCGGTTACTGCTTCGGTTACCGCCTCGGCCCTTGCACTTTCTGCCACTGTGCAGACAACTCAAACCATTAATGAACTATAGGCCACTGTGACCATGGTCCTAGATAAACAGGCCACTGCCAATTCTCAGATACAAGGAGGCCTGATGTTGGTAAACCAACAGATTAATTTGGTTCAGGAACAATTGGATATATTGTGGCAGATGGCCAAATTGGGATGTGAACAAAGTTGCCTGGCCTTTGTGTCACTTAGTACAATATGAGAATTTTACAAGAGCAGCTAACCTGTCAAAAGCTCTGTCTCAACATTTATTACAGAATTGGACTTTTGAGTTTGAGCAGACACTCCGTGAGTTGAGAATGGCGATCCTGCAAGTGAATTCGACGCATCTGGATCTTTCTCTGATGGAAGACCTCTCCCCCTGGATTTCATCTGCATTTTCTTATTTTAAGGAATGGGTGGGGGTAGGATCATTTAGCCTAGTTCTCTGCTGTGGAATAGTGTTGATGCTTTGGATGGTGTGTACGCTCAGAGCCCAAACAAAAGGAGAAAGTGGTGGTGGCACAAGCACTTGCTGCCTTAGAACACGGAGCATCCCCTGACATTTGGTTAACCATGTTAAAGCAATAGGTCGCTGGCCTCCCAGCTCTTGCACCCCACGAGGCTAGTCTCATTGCACGGGATAGAGTGGGTAGGCTTCAGCAGCCCAAGGAGTTGCAAGGCTAAGCACTGCACAGGAGAGGTCTGCGGTATAACGACTTTCTCCTGGGAGATAAGTCATCTTGCATGAAGGTTCTATGTCATGATCTCCTTCCCCCAGAAAAAAGACATCGGACTGGTCAGGACTTCCTCTGGGGATAAGACCCTGGAGAGGAGCTTTGTACATGTTCCGAATTTGCACATGGGGATTTGACCTCTATCTCCACTCCAAAGTTGTGGGTGTCCTATTGCTTCAAAAATAAATGAATAGGGGGAGATGTGAGGAGCCGCCCTCGCTATCGCTATTGCCGTTAGAAGATGGCGCTGACATCCACTGTCAGTTGGAGTTAACTGTCGCTGTCAGTTGGAGTTAACTGTCGCTGTCAGTTGGAGTTAACTGTCGCTGTCAGTTGGAGTTAACTGTCGCTGTCAGTTGGAGTTAACTGTCGCTGTCAGTTGGAGTTAACCGTTTAAACTGTGCCTCTCCCGTGACGTCATCTGGGGTGATGTGCAAACCACCAATCCCGGCTCTACACATCTCACTCGGAGCTCCTAGGCTTATATAAGGGGCTGGGTTTCTTAGCTTGGGGTCTCCCTCTAAGAAGCTGATCATCTATCTCTCAAGATGCATTAAAGCTTTACTGCAGAAGGATCCGAGTGTTCTGCGTCGTTCTTGCTGGCGAGACGGTAGCGCGGGACATAGGGACATACTGTGCCTGGCAGGTTGGTGTTGTGTCATAGAGTGTCCACATCTGAGTAAGGTCATTGACAAGTCTTCTCCCCCACAAATGAATACAACACCTGGAGCACTTTGAATGCTAGCAATAGGGATCTAACATATTTTTTAAACACTCTGCTGGTCCTAGGGCATTTACCCTTTTCTCATTCTTAACTTGCTGATATATAAATCACAAGCTGATTTAGAACTTGAGTTTTGTGGCTTATTTCAAAGATTATCAGAATAGTTGTTTCCCATAGAATATCTGTAATTGTTTATATTCAGTTTTCTGTTACTAACAGTTTGGGATAAATTATTTAAGGCTCTAAAATGGACATTTTTCTCTTGTGTTGGTAACAATTGACTCCATGTACTGAGATAATTTGCAAAGAGTAGATTACCACTCTGTTTGGAGGTGTCTGGACTCTTTCCATTTTTCCACATTGGGTTAATGTTAGATATAGGATTATGGCTTCTAATGTACCTTGTAGTGAAGTATGTTCTTGCTATTCCATGAATATTAAAATCCTTCACAATGACCAAAGATGAAATTTTACCATTTTTCTGTTGTGACTATATTAAATTAATCATTTTCCTTCTTTCAAAACTTAAAATTTGCTGACTTACATGGATAAATCTGTACATGTTAAACAGGTTTTTTTTTAATACTTCATCTTTGGAGGGAAATATACATGGCCATTCACCTTGTGATTTCTGCAAACTCAGAGTGCATTTCTCTATTTGCATGTATTACATTACCTCCAGTCTTTAGAATAAGCATCCTTGTGCCATTTTCTTAATGTCATTTGTGACCATTACTTTTTTTATTGGATTTTTTTTTCTCATTTTTTGAAGTGGAGAGCTCATTAGACAGCTGTTTGCTCATCAGACACTCTCTATGCAGACAAAGTTTGAAGCAAATAATTTAAACGTTTCTCTCTTTGTTAGGTGTTGAGATTTAAGTGGTCCTAGCAGACCATGCTCCACTATGTTTGGGGATTTGTTTTGGTTTGATTTGATTTGATGTGTTTGGGTGCTTGGGCAGCTTGTATGTGTGTGCAGTAAGCTTGCCTGATGAAAGCCGTTATGTAAATGATCCCGTGGTTGGCGACTTTACAGGACAGGAAATCAGAAGCCAGGTGATCTGGGCGGAGCTAGGAGGAGCCTCTCTGGGGAACCAGGCTGAAGGAACCGGAAATTCCTCCATTCCCTGTTGTACTCGGGGATCCTCATGGTCCAGAACAAGGTAAGAAATTGTGGCCGGGTCCGAGGGAAACTGAAAGTCCGGAGCCGCAATGTCCGCGCGCGGCGTGAGGCCTGGGAAAGTCAGCGTCAGCAGCAGCGCAGTGGCAGGTACCGCAGCCCGGCGGCCCTGGAACCTCCCAGGTCATAGGAGCCGCGGTGCTGGGACCCGGGTGGGAGGGGACCGGGCTGTGCCCGCTGATGCTGCTCTTAAGGACGCCGTCAGCTCTGCCGGCCATGTGGCTGCTGCTCAGGTCGTCACCCGTAGCAGGGTTCGGTCGTTTCGGTCCTAAAGAGCCAGGTGCCTCTCCGTGCTCCACGCGCGCCCCTTAAAAGTGCCGCCTGTCCCGGTTCTGTCTCTTGGTCCTGGTTTGCTCTCTGACCGCTTCTCTGTCTGGGGGTCTCCTCTCTCCTGGCCCCGCTCCCACACGGCCTTCTCTTCTGCTCATCCTCCTCCCCAGGCACGCGCTCACCTAGACCTGTTGCTCATGGAGTGCGCTGTTAGGTACCCAGTTTCCACCGCCTTATCCTTTCAGACACAGCTTTCGATACCCTGTCGTTGATATCTTTCCATGGACGGCAGGTTTGAGATACCATGAAGTGGTCATTAGTTTGTGTTTCCTTTCCTTTTTGCACATACCGTTGCCAGACTGTTCTGTCATAAAATAACTCTTAATATCATCTGGTAGAGCATTTTCATTGTGTTTGTTTGCACACAGGGAATCTTTGCTATGGTGGCAATTCCGCAGCTACTGGTATTTAAATTCATCCATGCTTTCTGAAATCCCTGTTTTACTACTTGCTTCTACTTCAAGAGAGTGTCCTTTGACCCTGACACTAGACATCCTGAGAGAGCTTTGTAGATAACAATCACCAGTGCAGATATAATTAAAGCGAATATATTTTATGGAGTGCCACACATACGCTTGTAAACATTAATGAAACGATTTGCATCCCATTATTTTCCGTCATATCCATGTTCAATCTTAGATGTAAATACAGCATTCAGAATTGTGTCTTCATGTGCTGTGTTCTCATGTTACATCATAGATCCAGGCAAGGTCAACATGCATGCTGTGATAATATATCATGTCACATAATTTTCAATTAGCAAACTCACTTTGAATGAAAATGAAATTGTGAAGCATCTTTTGAATATTTATATTCGCTCACCTGTATCTGAAAATGTCTCTTTTGTTGAAGAAAGGGTCTCTGCCCATGCACATTTGCCGGAGTGTGGTTTTTCTTTTCTTTCATGATCAATGCTGTGACTGTTGGTCTGTTGTAGGAGGAGTGGGAATGTCTCAGCCATGCTCACAGTGCATTTACAGAGATCTCCTGCTGGAGAACTGCAGCCGTGACTGTTCTGGTGTGAGAATAGTTTCTTGCAGTCTTCCTTTATCCTCCTCAGGGTTCCTGGAAAACTACTCAGCCTGTCTGTGATTTGTGTTTGAATTGGTTGTCCTAGAAGTCACTCTGTAGACTAGGCTGACCTCATACAAAAAAATAACCCTGCCTGCCTCTGCCTCCCAAGTGCTGGGATGCAAGGCATGCACCACCAGTGCCTGGCCTTATTTCTTCTTTATAGTATTTACTTGGTATCTTTTAAGCTTCTTGGTAAACACGGGGTATTTATGTATTGTATTATGAAGTGTTTCCTAATAAATGTCTGCGTCCTGTAGTCTGTTTCTTCCTAGTTTCAGTTATTACAATTTCTTACAGTTTTTTTTCCAGCTACACATAGTCAAATTTCATCAATTCATTGAGTTAGACCTCGTTCCTTCTTTTATATGTGTATATTTATTTACTTTCCCTATAATAGTGGTAGATGAGTCTGCTTATTCTGTAAGGTAAGTAAGTTTTTGGCATTTTGATGAAATTCTGTTGGTTGCAGCAGATGAAATTGATTCTGAAACTGCTGCCCTTAATAATTTACGTGTCCACTCTTCTGCCACTGTCCTGGAGCTGTTGTTCCTGTGGATCTGCAGTGTCATGTGTAATCACAGCTGGGATCACTGAAGTTTCGCTCTCTTTATTTGGCCTTTCTTTGCAATTTTGTAATTTGTAAATAATACAAATTAGTAATTTTCTCTTTACTGACTCTTAAGTAATTCCTGTGTCCCTTGATTGTCACAAATTTTTAGTTAAAAATAATAAGTCTTTTAACACTGTCATTTTCACAATAATGAAGTCTGTTTCGTGGGCAGACAAGTTTTTCCTGTCTTCCAGTATCAACTTGTATTCTTTGTGCGATTGAAATTTTTTTTATTTGTCTCTTGTGCTTGGTTAATTGTTTTTCTTTTTTCATCTATTTTTTGTTTATTGTTTACTTGGAATAAATTAAATAGAAGCAAAAACAGATTTAAAAATCTTCTCTAATTGGTTTGTTCTATGTATGAGAAAAACAAACAAAAGTTCTGCCTCTATAAAGCCATTGACGCCTCAAGTTCTATTTGTGTACTTTGTTTTTAATTTTTACACTTAGGAAATATTGATATATAATGATTGTGCAATGTTATTTGCTCTTTACCCTGTTTTCACCCTCTGTCATATACTGGCTAGACATGATTTCCTCCCAGTTGTCCCTTGCATATTTCATGTATGATTTTGTGTGTGTTTGGGTCAAGTAGTAAGGCTGTAATATATCAGTAATTTCTATTGCCATGTCAAAAATCAGAATTTTTCATCAGTGGCCTACTCATCCTCCAACTTTTATCTCCTTTGCTTTAATGTTTCCTGTAGTGTAGATGTGGGAATGTGGACTTCCTTTCAGAGCCTGTGCTGTAAGCAGTCAGTTGTTCTCAATATTTGATGAGTTACAAGTCTGTGAAATAACTATTGTCCATTTAGAACAGGGTTTCTTAGACCCCTGTCAAAAGCAGCCCCTGGCTTTGGTGGTATTGCAGTCAGTGAAAGGCAGTTTGAGTATGTGTACATGTAGCAGAATGTCAGTAGGGAATTCTCTCCTAGGGCCTGCCACCTTCACCCTCACAGGTTTTTGGCCAGGTTGTCCATGCCATGCATATATTTCCATGTGTGGAGTGTGCTTCAGATCAAACCAGAAAGCCTTCTGTTTTCCCAAATATAGTCCTGCTCCAATGACAACAATGGGCATTTCTTGCCTGGCAGGATGGGATTATAGCAAAAAGGATTCAAATCTGCCTATGATAGTGGTCCATGCTGTTGCCTCTCTTGCTCTTCCATAGCTGTCTGCCTCTCTCCTGTGCCCATCCCAGATGGCCATTCCCTCTTTTACTCATCATCTGCCCACTATATAAATCTCCCCCCAGACCTGTTGGATGTCAGTTGCCCATCTGGTCCGGGGCCAGAGGTGCCATGTTTTCCACGTCTTCATCCTTAAAGACACACACATTTTTTTATGTGTCGCTTTGGAGCCTGTCCTCGAACTCTCTCTGTTGACCAGCATGACCTTGAATTTACAGAGGTCTCCCTGCCTTTGTTCCCCCTTGATCTCTTTTTATTGTCTTATTTCTCTAGCAGGAGTTTCAAGTGTAATATTGAAGAGATATGGAGTGAGTGGACATCTTTGTCTTGTTCATGATTTTAGCTGTTTATCCTTTAGTTTCTCTCCATTTAGTTTGATGCTGGCTGTTGTTTTCCTGTATATAGCTTTTATTATGTTTATATATGTTCCTGTTATTCCTGATCTCTCCCAAGACCTTTATCATGAAGGGGTGTTGGATTTTGTAAAAGGCTTTTTCAGCATCTAGTGGGATCATGTGGTTTTTCTTTTTCAGATTAATTATGTGGTGGAATCTATTGATGGATTTTCATATGTTGAACCATCCCTGCCTCCCTGGGATGAAGCCTACTTGATCATGGTCGATAATTTTTCTTATGTGTTCTTGGATTCAATTTGCCTGTATTTTATTGAGTATTTTTGCATCAATGTTCATCAAAGAGTTTGGTCTGTAGTTCCCTATCTTGGTTGTATCTTTGTGTGGTTTTGGTACTATGGTAATTGTACACTCGTAAGAAAAATTTGGCAGTGATCTCTCTAATTCTATTGTGTAAAGTCAATTTGAAGAATATTGGTATTAGCTCTTCCTTGAATTTTTGGTAGAATTCTGCACTGATGCCAACTGGTCCTTGACTTTTTCTGGGCGGAAGCCTTTTTGGCTGCTTCTATTTCTTTAGGGAATATAGATCTGTTCAAATTTTTAATCTGTCCTTGATTTAATTTTTTACGTGATATGTATCCAGAAAATCATCCATTTCCCTTAAATTTCCCAATTTAGTGGAGAACAGGTTCTCAAAGTATGACCTGATTATTCTTTGGATTTCCCCAGTGTCTGTTGTTATGTTCTCTTTTTCATTTCTGATTTTATTAATTACCATGCGCTCTCTCTGTGTTTTGGTGAGGTTGGATAAAGTTATTCCTATTTTGTTGATTTTTCTCAAAAATTAACCCTTGTTTTCATTGATTCTTTGTATTGTTTTCTTTGTTTCTACTTTATTGATTTCAGGTCTCAATTTGATTATTTCCTGGTGTCTACTCCTCCTGGATGAGTTTGCCTCTGTTTGTTCTATATATGCTAGGTATTCTGTTAATTCTTTAGTGTGGCAATCCTCCAATTTCTTCATGTGGGCACTTACTTCTATGTGTTATCCTCTTTGAACTGGTTTCAAAGTATCCCAAAGGTTTGGGTATGTTTTGCCTTCGTTTTCACTGAATTCTAGGAAGTCTTTGATTTCTTTCTTTATTTCTTCCATTACTCAGGTTGATGAAATTGAGCACTGTTCAATTTCCATGAGTTTGTGAGGTTTTTGTAATTTGTTTTGACATTGAATTCTAATTTTAAGCCTTGGTGGTCTGACAAGATACAGGGTGTTATTCCAATTTTTTTGTGTATGTTGAGGTTTGCTTTATTGCCAAGTATGTGGTCGATTTTTTTAATGATTATTGATTATCAATTTATTAAGGAAAACCACTCATGAGAGAAGCCAATAACCAGAGTAGTGCTCAGAGAAAGCCATTCTCAG